AAGGAGAAGGAGGTGCGAGGCAGGCAGGCAGGGACGGGCAGCGCAGGCAGCCGGGGACCCCCCCGGGGGTCCCTGCAGTCGGAGTCGAGCTCCTCCAGCGAGGCGGAGGCTCCGTACCCCTGCCCCGAAATCCAGCGCCTGCGGGAAGCCGCCGGCATCGCCCTGCGCCAGGACAAGCAGCCCCCGGCCCCCCGCCGCTGCGAGGCCAACCATAAAGGTGAGAGAGAGGGGGGGTCCCTGTGGGGTCCCCCCTCCCCCAAATTTTTTGGGGGGGTGGGGTGTCAGAGGGGCACCCATCTCCATCCCACCCTTCTGCTTGGCGACAGGGTCGTGTAACGAGTCGGAGAGTAACGACGAGTCCATCCCTGAGCTGGAGGAGCCGGAAGGCTCGGAGCCGCAGCCGACCCAGACCCAGGTGGGGGTTTCCGGGGGGGGGGGGCGGGGAAGGGGTGATGGGGACCCCCTTACCCTCCCCAGGGTGGTGGGACCGGGGCTGTCCTCACCCACGGATCTCTGGCAGGCACAGCTCACCCACTCGCTGGGCACCGGGGAGGAGACTGTCAGCAAGGCGAAGCAGAGCCGGAGCGAGAAGAAAGCTAGGAAGGTGGGATGGGGACCCCCCCCAGGTGGGGCTGGGGGTCCGCCATGGGGCTGGGGGGGTCCCTGTCCTATGCTAGGGTTAGTGGGGGTAAGATGGGGGGTGGCAGATGGGGAAATCTCCACTTTGAGAGGGTCTCCAGGTCATGCCTGGGTGTCCCAGTAGCGGGCTGGGGTGGTGGTGTGGGGTCCCCCATTCTTGAGGGGGAGCTCAGCCTGGCCATGCTGGGGAGCAACATTGTCCCACATCCCTGGTTTTGCCATTGTCCCAGGGTTCTGGGGGGCTGCAGACCCCCCTCCTTGGCTGCTCGGGTTGTTGTGATGCTGGACAGGGGGACACGGGGTCACCTCTGTGTCCTGGTTTTTTCCGCTCCCCCCCCCAAGGCCATGTCCAAGCTGGGGCTGCGGCAGATCCACGGCGTCACCCGCATCACCATCCGCAAATCCAAGAACATCCTCTTTGTCATCACCAAACCCGACGTCTTCAAGAGCCCCGCGTCCGACATCTACATCGTCTTCGGGGAAGCCAAGGTGATTGGGGGGGGGGCAAAGGGGATCTGGGGGGGGGTCCCATCCTTGGGGCTGGTGGGTGACCCCGTGTCCCCGCAGATCGAGGACCTGTCGCAGCAAGTGCACAAGGCGGCGGCGGAGAAGTTCAAGGTGCCGATGGAGCACTCGCCCCTGATCACGGAGACAGCCCCCACCCTCACCATCAAGGAGGAGAGCGAGGAAGAGGAGGAGGTGGGTGCCGGAGGGGATCCAGGGATACGGGTGGGATGGGTCAGGGGCTTTTGGGGGGTGGGGGGGCTGACAGCGATGTCCTGTGTCATTGTGTCCCCCCTCGTAGGTGGACGAGACAGGGCTGGAGGTGAGGGACATCGAGCTGGTGATGGCCCAGGCCAACGTCTCGCGCCCCAAAGCCGTGCGGGCGCTTCGGCACAACAACAACGACATCGTCAACGCCATCATGGTGAGTGGTTGGTGGTGGTGGTGGGGAAGCTGCAAACGGGGTTATAGCCCCCCCCCAGTGCATCTCCCAGCATGAATTGGGGGTGCAACCCCCCTCCCTGGGGTGCTGCGGGGGGGGTCCCTGATGCTCTGCTCTCTCCCCCCACAGGAGCTGACTATGTAGCGGCCGGGGGTGTCCCGGCCCCCCTGTATAGATGCACAGTTACTCCCCCCCCACCATCCTTCCTCTAGACCCCCCCATATTCCTCCTCTGCGTCTGTAACGCTCAATAAATGGCCTCATGTATCACTTGGATCGCACACTGCCTCTGCTCATGGTGATTTTGGGGCTGGGGCAGGGGGTGGTGGTGTCTGGGCTGCCCCATGGCTTCCCCAGACCTGTATCCCAGTGGGGGGGTCCTGTCTCTGGGGAGTGTTTGGGGGGAGCTTGGGACACCCCCATTCCAGCAGTGGGTTAGGGTGCAGGGGCTGTAACTGGGGTGGGGTGCCCAGGGAAATGGGGGTGAGTGGTGGCCACCGTGGTGGGATATGGGGTGCTGGGAGCAGGCACAGGGACAGCTGGGACCGCCCCCCCGGCTCTGCAGTGGTGGGGGGGACACATGGCACTGGATGGGGTGGCAGAGTCCCAGGATGGTCCCGAAGCAGTCAGGCACCAGGGCTTTGCCCCCTCCTGTGTCGCTAATTTGGAGGTGCTTAACAAAGCCAGGCTTTGCCCAAGCCCAAGGGAGGTGAGCGAGGGCTTTAGCAACGAGACAAACCACTGTCGGGTGCAGAATTATATTTACCTGTAACAAATACTCCGTACAGAAAGCATACATACACAGCCTCCCCCGGGACCGCCGCGGCCCCCCCCCCATGCTGTGTCCCCCAGTGCCAGGGGTGCTCCAGGGCTGGGGATGGGGAAATGGAGGTGGCAGAACCCCCCCCCCAGCTGCTGCCATCTACTTGCTCCCAGAACGCTACACCCAGCGGGGTTATTTCCAGAATTAAGTCCTGTTTCCCACCGAAGTATAAAAAAAAAACCCCACTGTGAGCTGTTACGGCTTCTGTTTTATAGCTCTCCGTATACAATCATGTCAAAAATAGGGCTTTTTTTTTTTTTCTTCCAAATTTCCTTAAGTCTTTAAGGACTTGAACATCCCCATGTGCAATTTGTTTTTAATCTGTAAATCATAAAAAGGCACTAAAACTACCCCCAGCTCTGAGTACTCCCAGCCCTGTGCTGTGCTGCTGCCTCCTGGGCTTAAGAAGGAGGAAAAATCTTGGTTTCCCCAACTCCTGAGGCCCTGGAGCTGGTGCCCAGGGGATGGAGCTGGGACCCCCATCTCCCCTTCCCTTGGCTGATGGCAAAAACACCTGCCAGGAGGAGGAAACCCCAAGCTTCTCTAGCAAGGCTTGTTTCTAGGGAAGACGCTCCCCGGGATGGATGTGTCCTGGCCAAACCCTTTCCTCCAGGGGCTGGGGGACCCTCTTTGAGACCCCCCTCCTCCTGCTCTGGAGTTTATCAATCAGCCTCAAAACTGTAAGGAAAGGGCTGTTGGAGGATGGAGGGATCCTGTACCTGTCCCCAGCTCTCCAGGGAGCTGAACACTGGGGTGACTTGGCTGCTTTCACCCCTTAAAGTCCAGGGGAAGGAGGGATTGGGGTGACGGGGACCCCCCCCGGGGAGTAGAAGGGGGTCACCCTGACCAGCCTAAAGCAGCGCGGGATCTGTGCAGGATCGTACCGAGGGCCGGCACCTGCAATCCCGGGAAAGGGCAGGTAAGAAATGGCCGGAGCAGCGGGGCTAGGGAGGGGGAGGAAGGTAGAGGATGGTAGGGATGAAGGCTGCTGCCTGCCTGGGATGGATACTGGTATGGGTTAGGTGGGGAGCTGCAGGGAAGGCTTTGGGGACAAAGAGCAGAGGAATGTGCAGGAGGAGGCCGGTTCTCCCCGCCCCCCCCAAAAAAACCTGCTGAGCCAGTGTCTGGCTGCAAAGCACCCACCGCAGCCCCCACCCCCCCCAGCTCGGGGTGGCTGCCAGAGCCACCCATGGGTGCCAGAGACCCCATCTGACCCCTGGGGTGCTGCCCCAATCCTCCTCCAGCCCCATCCTTCCTCCTGGTTGTGGCTCTAAGATAACTGGGGACCCCCACCCCAAGCCCTGATCCTTCTTAGGTGACCCCCCTGCGCCAGCAAACAGCATGTCCCCTGCGGGGCCCAGCTGGCACCTCTCTCTGCACAGGAGCGCTCCTCTGGCAGGGGATAGAGATTAAAAAAATAAGTGTGTATTTATAACTGTATGTAAAAATATATACAACATGTACAGCACACCCTGCAGCACCCCCCCTACCCCCCAAGCTTCCCAGAGTAGGTCCTGGATCAGCTCTCCTGTCCCAGTGGTGGCCCTGGGGGACAGCAAAGTCCCCGAGGAGCCCCAACAGACACCCAATGCCCTCCTGCCAGCACCCTGAACCCCAGGACGGGTGGCAGAGGAGGACCAAGGAGTCCCCCAGACCAGGGGGGCGGGGGATGCATGGGGCAAGTCCTTGTGCTTGGCAGGCTGGTGTGCAGGAAGGGGATGCCCCGGCAGGCGCTGACAGCTGCCTGCCTTGTGCCCGTGGGCACACACGAGCCCGCTGGCAGGTAAAATGGCATCCGTGTGGCCCCCCCCACCTCCCTGGGGTCCCCCCGCTATTCCTGAGCAAAGCTGGGGCTGGGGGGGGGGTACGGCAGCATTTGCAGGCCGGGTTGCGGCAGCCCAAGCGCAAAGCTTGCGGCGTGGGTGGCATCGACAGCTTCTCCTGTGGGTCTGGAGCCGAAATGTTTCGACAACATCGACAATAGGTTTAAATAATTCACATTGTGGTAAACTTCATTCAAAAAACAGGGGGAGGAAGAAGAAAGAGGAGGAGGAGAGCAGTTACAACAGGGATACCATGTGCAAAACTGTAAACCAGGCAGAGGGTTGTAGCCGACTTGTCTCCCCGGCCTTGCTCCCTGCTGCACCGGCAAAACCAAACCAGGGACGGCGCAGGCTGGGCTCCTGCCCCGGCATCCTCCACCACAGCGTGCCAGCACGGTGAGAGGGTGCCGGCTGCCTGCCAAGGGCCACTTGGAGCCGTTAACGAGGATGGGAGAGTAATTACATCCTGATCTAGCCCCAAAACCTCTTCCGGAACGACGGTCAGGATACAGGCACTGCTGCAGGGGTCTCTCCGAGAGGGTGGGAAGGTGCCAGAGTGAGCCCCTGCCCCGGCGCGGGGAGCTGCCGGGGCCATCCTCCCCCCTCGCTGGCTCTCAGGAGGAATCGCGGTCCATGCTGCACCCCAGGGCTTCAATGTCGTTGCTGATGTGCGAGATCATTCGGTCCCACTCGTCCTCCTCCGAAGGGACGGACTGGTCATCTGAGCTGCCGGCAGCGCCATTGCCGTTGGTGGTGGAATTGGAGGTGGTGCTCAGTGTCCGTCTGTACCTCCCAAAACTGTCTGTGATGATGCCTCGGCCATCCTTCACCCCAATGGTTTCGAGGAAGTTCTCAAAGTGTTGACTGTCCTTCTCGGGGATGAAGGGGCGAAGACCTGGATCAGGGAAGAAAACCCCAAGGAGGAAACAGCATCATCGTGTGTTTTGTACGGCACAGGCATGCAGGGGAGACATCCAGGACAGATTTCCACATGGATTTGCTCAGCTGTCTGAAATTCCCCATGGCTTCTGAGCCATCCAGCAGAGCCCAGCTGCTGAGGCTGGCTGTAATGTCATGCCCCAGCTCCCTGAAATGGCACAGGGCTTGGCGGAGGAGCCCATTTCAGGGGGACAGGGACCACTGGAGTCTCCAGCTTTTGTGGCCACATCTCACACTTACACCCCTGAGAACTGCAGCTGCTGCCCACCAAGCACAAAATCCCACTAAAGCGGGATTTTCTGAGCTCAAAAGGATCGTCTGCTAATTCCCCACCGAAACATATTGCTCAGCTTTACTGAGCTTATTGCTCTAACAGCATCAGCCCACGACTCCTGCGCCCGAAGGAGCACAGGCAGGGTGGCTGCAGGAACATCTGTCCTGTCTCTCTCTGCATCCCACTGTGGGCTGGTGACCCTGGCAGGGTGGCTGTCACCTGCTGCGAAGCAGAGAGGGTCACTGGGACACAGGTTAGGCACGCTGCTACTTATCCTTTGAGGATTTTAAGTAACTAATTCTGTTTTCTTTGTAATTAGCAGTAGGGTGAGAGTCCTCAAGAGCAAGTGTTTAAGTTAAGGCTACTTAAATGGCTTTTCCTGATGGGCCCCATCCTGCTCCAGCTGCAATCATGGAGCAGCTGTCCTGCTGAGCATTGTCCCTCTCCCTACCCCCTCCATGCTGTGTGTCCTTGCTGGCCAAAACCAAGATACCCCCCAGCCCCCTTCCTAGAGTCAGTCACAGCTTTAGGGCTACAGTCACTACCCAAACTGCTTGGAAGAAAACTCTGGGCACTCAAAAACTTGAAAGAAAAACCTTTACGGGAGGCTTCCAGCATAGTCTGAGCCTGGGCAGAAGGTTTTCTGCTCCTCACCTCTCTATCTCACATCAACCCCCTCAGTCAAACCCGTGGGGAGCAGCCAGAGCTCAGCCCAGCTCTGTCCTGGGAGAGCATGGCACCGGTGTGACCACCCAGGCTGGGAAAAGCAAGTTGGATTTGCTTTTCAGTGACATGAAGCCAATATAAAGTCAGCCTCCCAGCACAGTGACCTTGCCTTTGTGCCAGCTTTGGTACAGGCGATGTTAAAAGCAAGTCGGTTGTGTGCGCACCACTGAAAGAAAATGCCTTTGTGCTGGCGGAGGCGCCCGGCTGCGCTGCTGGATCCCCCGGACAAAGAAAAGAGAAGCTGGCTGGCGCGAGAACTCGCTGAGAGCTGCCCCGCTCCCTGCGGCACGCTGACTCCGGTGAGCAACCCCCAGCGCTTTCAGCAGATCTGCTTTTATAAGAGGGTGAAAACCCAAGGCATCACTTTTCAGCGACAACAGGCATCTCTGTTTTGGTCCCTGCGCTGTTTGAAAGCCCCCCCAGCGCTGGCTGAGTGCCCAGCTGAGAACCTGCCTGCCCCAGGGCCAGTGCAGACATCAGGTCAGGCCCATGTCCTCCTGCCCCAAGCCATGGGCTCTTGTTACTGATGCTCTTTCAGCTTATTAAAGCCAAAATCAAAG